GCGACTCAGTCATTGATTTACCTGCTATAGTGAGGGGAGGGGAGGGTGAGGGGAAGGAGAGGGGAAAGGGAGGGGAGGGAAGGGGAGGGGAGGGAAGGGTGAGGGGAAGGAGGGGAGAGAGGGGAATGGGAGGGGAGAGAGGGTGAAGGGAAGGGAAAGGTAGAGGGTGAGGGGAAGGTGAGGGTGAGGGACAGGAGGAGGGAGAGTGATGGGAAGGAAGGGGGAGGGGGAAGAGAAGGAGAAGGGGAGGGGGAGAGAGGTAGGGACGAGGAAGAGGAGGGAGGAGGGAGGAGGAGGAGGAGGAGGAAGGTAGGTAGGGCAGACTTCGGGGTGATGGGGAGGGTAGGGAGAGGGGTAGGGTAGGTAAGAAGGTAGGTAGGTAGGTAGATGGCCCTTGTGCATGACATGTACTTGGACTGGGCCATGCATAAGCCATGAGGCAGAGCGGGTCACGGCCACGACGGCACACTAATCTTCCACTATTGTGATGCATTATTCTCCCTTCGAGGTGGGCGCGTCTCCCCTCTCGTGGTCTCTCGCTTTCTGAACTTCCCCCTCTCCCTCTCTCTCTCTCTCTCTCTCTCTCTCTCTCTCTCTCTCTCTCTCTCTCTCTCTCTCTCTCTCTCTCTCTTTCTTTCCTTCTCTCTGTCTGTTTGTCTCTCTCTCTGTCTATCTTTCCCCCCTGTCTGTCTGTTTGTCTGTATGTCTGTCTGTCTCTCCCTCTTTCTCTCTGTCTGTCTGTCTCTCTCTCTCTCTCTCTCTCTCTCTCTGTCTCTCTCTTTCTCTCTGTCTGTCTGTCTATCTCTCTCTTTCTTTCTCTCTCTCACACATTCTTAACTTTCCTCTCTTTCTTTCTCTCTCTCTCACACTCACACTTTCCTCCCAGTACTAAATAGATAATAAAATAGATTAAATAAACAAAAATAAATAAACAAGTAAAAAATCTCATCCTCCTTTTCCAATCCTAATCTCTCCTTCCCACTCCTTCCATGCAATAAATGTGAAGGAATTCTCTTTGCACGATCCTCACTGTCTGTGCGGTGTATGTACCTCTAGTAATGAACCCGGACGTAATGGTGAGCGTAGTAGGAGAGAGCGCAGTCCTTATCGATAGGTACGTAGAAGTTCGTTCACAACACTCGTTTTCAAGCCACAGTTCGTGGTCGAGCCCTGCATTCTAGGTGAGTCACCCCTTGACACGTAACGTTGTAGGAATGTGTGAGCCTCTTTTTTTTTTCTTTTTTTTTTTGGGGGGGGTTGGGGGTATAGAGGGGAGGGTAGTGGTGTGGTAGAGGGGTAAGGTGTAGAGGGGAAGGGATGTGTGTTTTTTTTTTCTTTCTCTCTTCCTCGTCATTACATTATTTTTCTTCTCTCCTCTCTCTCTCTCTCCACTCTTCATCTATCTATTTATCTGACTATCCACCTATCTATCTATCTAACTATCCACCTATCTATCTATCTGACTATCCACCTATCTATCTACCCATCTATCTACCAATGTATTTGTTTATCTCTACCTATCTATCTATCTATCTGTCTATCTACCTACCTACCTACCTACCTATCTATCTCTCTTCCTTCCATCCATTATCCCTAGTATCCGAAAACATGAATGAGTCACCGTGAGTCATCACAATCATCCTTTTTTCTCGCGAACGGATTAAAGATGGACCCTGAGATAGATTAAATTGGGAAAGGATTTAAGAACGGAAGATAAATAGACACAAAGACTGCTCTCGGAAAAGGGATCGATTGAAAGGTCGATTTTGACTTTATTTTTCATGGATTTGACCCCAAGATGAAGAAAATTGCGGTTCTTGAGCGATGAGTCGTAAGAAAGTGCACACACACACACATACACACACATATCTACATGTATACATATACATATACACAAACACGCATACACACACTCATACAAACAAATACACACATGGTAAGTAAATTTCGATGCAGTGCAAAATCTGAGCACAGAGAAAATGGTTATAGATTTTACACATACTACACGAGATGGGACTTTTCAGCATGATAATAACTTGTCTCTCTCATTTATAGCCGAACATGCAGAAATATTCAAAGTGATAATCTTAAGTATATACATTTAGTGTTGACTTATCGTCGTTTTTTTTTTCTCTAGATATATTTACATTATCAGTGTTGACATATAAAGCTTAGGTCTAAACAGTTTCAAGGAAGAACCCTTCAAAAGTCGATGAGTTTTCACAACAAACAAGTGATTCTCGGAAAAGCATCGAATGCAGATCGAAAGGGGTATTTGATCCTCTGACCTTGGGTGTTCGTACTACCCAGAGAGAGGGTTCGGATACCTTTACAGTAGTATTCTTGTATTTGGTCATGGTTCCACGCATATAACAGCAACGTCAGCGCTATCTTTCAATTTGAAAAAAGGGAATAAAGTCTTTAAACTTATTCTAACAAATCCATTCATAATAAAAAAACGGAGGTAATTTTGATATAGACATTTTTTCTTTTTTTCCAGAATCGTATCGTCAGGGCTACCAACCTCACCGACCATCATGGCGGAATTGAACCGGAGTTTGACTGCGATGGACTGGCTTCCTCGCCTCAACGCCCGCGGTGCTCTGAGCGCGGGCGGGATCTGGCTCGAGGGCGTGAATGATCCTCCAGAACTCGTGCAGGCTGACTCTTCCACCCCGCCCTCGCCGCCCACTAATAGCAAGCCTCCATATAGGTAAAATTTAATTATTTCTTTGGACGATTTGGGGCATTTGGGCTTTTATCTATCTATCTATCTGTCTATCTATCTATCTATCTATCTATCTATATATCTATCTGTCTATCTATCTATCTATCTGTCTATCTATCTATCTATCTATCTATCTATCTATCTATCTATCTGTCTGTCTATCTATCTATCTATCTATCTATCTGTCTATCTATCTATCTATTTATCTATCTAACTATCTATCTTATTATTTTTTTTATATTGTTATATTTCATATCACATTACCTTAATTATTATTTTATTATCATATAACATTATAGTATTGTATCATATTATCATAAAAGAAAATGCATATAAAAAGAGTAAATATCTGCTTTTCTTCCCTTTTTTTGACTGGGACTCTCTGTATATTTACTTGTTTGTCTGTCTTTCTCTCTTTCTTTTATTTTCTCTCTACCACATTTTACCCCTTCCCTCTTTCTTTTTTCTTTCTATCCCCTTCTTCCTCCGTCTTTGTATTCCTATCTCTCGCCCCTCTATTTATCTGCCTTTTCTCCTACCACTATTTTTTTTTCTCTCTCTCTCTTTCTATTTGCATGTATGTGTATATTTTTAGGTGTGTATGTGTGCGTGTGTGTGTGTGTGTGTCTACATGCTCGTGTTCGTGTGTGTCTACAAGTTCGTGTGTGTGTGTGTGTGTGTGTGTGTGTGTGTGTGTGTGTGTGTGTGTGTGTGTGTGTGTGTGTGTGTGTGTGTGTGTGTGTGTGTGTGTGTGTGTGTGTGTGTGTACCTGCATGTTCGTGTGTGTGTGTAAGTATCTACATGTTCGTGTGTGTGCTCGTGTGTGTCTACATGTTCGTGTGTGTGTGTGCCTATATGTTCGTCTGTGAGTGTGTGTGGGTGTGTGTGTACATGTTCGTGTGTGTGTGCCTACATGTGTGTGTGTGTGTGTGTGTGTGTGTGTGTGTGTGTGTGTGTGTGTGTGTGTGTGTGTGTGTGTGTGTGTGTGTGCATGTGCGTGTGTGTGCGTGTGTGTGTGTGTCTACGTGTTCGTGTGTGTGTGTGTCTACAAGTTCGTGTGTGTGTGCGTATGTGTGTGTTTACATGTCCGTGTGTTCTATATTTGTTTGCTAATTAATAATTAATCAGTCTAGACATTTTTCTCATTACCGGAATATTTGCTTTACACGATAAGCTTTGCCATTGCAAGCATATAGGAGTTAATGTTATCTAAAGCGAATTTAGTTTTCCGATAAAAGGACTTTATATTCAAATCCGTTAATTAATTTTCTGTTTTAAACCGTCTTTGTTGTTTTTTTTTGTTTATTGTTTGCTATGTTTCTCTTTGTGTTTGTTTATGTGTTCGTTTGTTTATCGTTGTGTGCTTCTTTCTCCAAATTTGCGTCTTTTGTTTTGTTTCTTTGTTTCTTTCTTTTGTTCTTTGTTCTCGATTTTTTTCTGATTTCATCTTACTTGTTTCTTTGTTCTCCAAGCTTATCTCTCTTACTTCTTCTTTGTTTCTTTGTTCTTCTAAACTGTTTCCTTTTCTACTTTATTTGTTTGTTTTCCTGATTTCTCTTTCTGCTTCTTTGTTCTCCAAATATAATATCACTTCCTTTTCTTTGTTCTTCAAAATTCTCCCTCTTTTCTTTTTCTTTGTTTCTTTGTTCTCCAAATTTCTGTCTTTTTTTCTTTGTTTCTTTGTTCTCCAAATTTCTGTCTTTTTTTTCTTTGTTTCTTTGTTCTTCAAATTTCGCTCTTTTTTTCTTTGTTTGTTTGTTCTCCAAATTTCTCTCTCTCTTCCTTTTCTTGGCTTTTTGTTCTGCAAATCTCTCTCTTTTTTCCTCTTCTTTGTTCTCCAAATTTATCTCTCTTCCCTCTTTATTTTTTGTTCTTCAAAATTCTCTCTCTTTTCCTCTTCTTTGTTTCTTTGTTCTCCAAATTCATCTCTCTATTCCTCTTCTTTGTTTCTTTGTTCTCTAAATTTCTCCCTCTTCTTTTTCTTTGTTTCTTTGTTCTCCAAATTTCTCTCTCTTGTCCTTTTCTTTGTTTCTTTGTTCTCCAAATTTCTCCCTCTTTTCTTTTTCTTTGTTTCTCTGTTCTCCAGATTTATCTCTCTTCCTTCTTCTTTGTTTCTTTGTTCTTCTCTCTGCGTTTGTTTATTTGTTCCCTTTTTTCTTTCTCCAAATTTACGTTGATCTTTTGTTTTGGTTCATTGTTCTCCAAATTTCTCTCTTTTTCCTCTTTTTTTGTTTCTTTGTTCTCCAGATTCATTTATTTTCCTCTTCTTTGTTTCTTTGTTCTCCAGATTCATTTATTTTCCTTTTCTTTGTTTCTTTGTTCACCAAGTTTATCTCTCTTCCTCTTCTTTGTTTCTTTGTTCCTTTGTTCTTCAAATTTGTTTCAGTTTTTCATTAATTTGTTTGTTCTCCAAATTTGTCTCTTTCCTTCTTCTTTGTTTCTTTGTTATCTCTTTTTTTCTTGCTGTTATCTTTTTTGTATATGCTTTTTTTGTTTGTTTGTTTACTTATTTCCATTATTCCTTTCTCTCTTCACTCTAACCCTTTCTCCCTATCTCCTACCCTCGTCTCCACCCCCCCCCCTCCTCCCTCGAATCCTTTCTTCCTCCCTCTTTCTCCCTCCCCCCTCCCCTCCTCTCCCTCCCCCCCCAGTCTTCCACCCTAACACCCCCCTAGTCACCCTTAATCTCCCTCCCTTCCTCCCTTCCTCCTTTCCTACCCTTTTCCCCTTCCCTTCTCTCCTCTTCTCCCTACCTTACCGTCCTCCCCCCTTTCTCCCTAGCCCTTTCTCTCACTATTCCCCTCCCTCCCCTCTCCCTTCCCCTCCCTCTCTTCCCCTTCCTCTTCCTTCCCCCCCCCCCCCCTTATCACTCTACTCACCCTGGTCTCTCACCCTCCCTTCCCCTCCCTCCCTCCCTTCCCCTCCCTCCCTCTCTCCCATCCCCCTTCACCCTATCCCTTCCCCTCCCTTCCTCCCCCTCCCCCCCCTTATCACTCATACTCACCTTGCTCTCTCCCCCTCCCTTCCCCTCCTCATCACTCTCCCTCCCCTTCCCATCTTCCTCCCCCTCCCTCCCTTCCCCTCTCCCTCCCTTCTCCTCCCTCCCTCCCTTCCCCTTCCCCTTCCCCTTCCTCCCCCTTCCCTTCCCCCTTTATCACTCACACTCACCCTGCTCTCTCCCCCTTCCCCCCGCAGTTACGCCAACCTGATCACCCTCGCCATTAACAGCAGTTCGAAGCGGAAGATGACGTTGGCGGAAATCTATCAGTGGATTATTGATAACTTCCCTTACTATCGTCAAGCGTCGGCGGGCTGGAAGGCAAGTGGCGCTGTCTTTGTTTTGTTGTTGTTGTTGCTATTTTTGTCTTTGTTGTTTTGTTTTGTTTTGTTTTGTCTTTGGTGTTGTTTTTGTTTTTGCTGTTTTTGTTGTTGGTGTTGTTGTTTTTGTCTTTGTTGTTGCTTTTGTTGTTTGTGGTGGTGATGGTGGTGTTGTTTGTTGTTGTTGTCTTAGTTTGGTGTTGGTGGGGGTGGTGGTGATGCTGTTTTTTGTTGTTGGTGTCGTTGTTGTTGTTGTTCTTATAATTTTCATTACTGTTATTTTTATTGTTAATATTATTGTTACTACTACTGTTAGTTGTATTGTTATTATTTTTCATTGTTTTCATTGTTATTGTTATTATTATCGTTAATGCTGCTATCGTTGTTATTATTAGTACCATTATCATTAATATTGTTGTTTTTATTGTTATCATTATTATTGTTGTTTTTATTGTTATCATAATTATTGTTATTATTATTGTCATTATTATTATTATTAATAATATTATTATCACCATCATCATTATTATTATTATCATTACTATCATTATCATCGTCATCATTATTCTTTTAATGACTAGGATAGTGTGGTATTTTCATTTGATTTAATTTCTTTTTTAGTTTTCAGTTTTGTTGTTAGCAATGTCTGTCAAAGAGAGTCGAGAGGAGGAAGTGGCGAGTCGAGTATTGGGCCATGAATTATTTTTTGTCTCTTTCTTTCTTTCTTCCTTCCTCTTTCTCTCATTCACTAATTGTCTATCCGTCTCTTTTTCTCTCTTTCTCTCAAACATAAACTCTCTCTTGCTTTCTTTCTTTTTCTTTCTTTCTCTCTCTCTGTCTCTCTGTCTCTCTCTGTCTCTCTCTCTCTCTCTCTCTCTCTCTCCCTCTCTCTCTCTCTGTCTGTCTGTCTGTCTCTCTCTGTCTGTCTGTCTCTCTCTCTCTCTCTCTCTCTCTCTCTCTCTGTTTCTCTCTCAAGCACAAAGGTGCAAAACCCCCGGTGTTATAACCACGATACTGCGTGTTTGAATTCACTTCTTTACAGCTGTAACAAATACACCAAAAGCTATACATGTGTAATCAGTCGATAAAACACCTGCGATCATGTTACGGTTGTTTTAGAATTATAAAACCCACGTGGTACGGCCGTTGCGACTGGTTATTATTATTATTTTTTTAAACATTTTGCCTTTCAATTGATGTCCGAGATTTCTGCTTTTGATTGTGGTATACTTCGGCATATAGATTATCATGGGGCATAACAGTATTTCACTCTCATAATTATATCTTCATAATCTGCAACATTTCATACTTGTAAATAAATAAAAACAACACAAATGGTCGAATGGTCGGCACACGCTGGAAATTCCGTCATGAAACGGGAGTGGAACATGTCGGTGGAACGAGGGAGTGAGGTGTACAGGCTGTTTGCCAATCACCCGGAGTAGGCAAGCGAAAATCCAGGGTAGCCACTGATGGAGCGGCTGTAGCTATCAATAGCACTATGATCAGGACAAATTGAGGCTACAGTGAATAATTCACAAGTTAAACAGGGTAAATTTGCAGTTATTTTCCTCAGGGGATTTCCCACAGCACTTCACAGCTCTTCACCGTATTTATTTCATATTTCACGGAATTCACCAGTCACTCTGAATATATATATAAGAAATTCGAGATGAAAAATATACGTACTTAAAACTTACTATTTCGAGTGTGGAGCTCGGAGTAGTGTGGCAAACCTCAGAACGGCAACCACCGACGATGGCTGCTGACATGGGTGAAGGCGATCCAAAGGGACACACTCGCACGCCTCAGGCCGTTTTCACACCAAGATGGCATGTTTTCAGGGTCTGCCTCACACTCTGACCCAAAGTCATTCACTGTATTCCTCCAAGTGATAGTAAGATAGTTGTCACAAGATTGATTGGAACTTCGGACAACAAATGCATCGTCAACCGATGATGCCATCTTGTGAACCGAGTGACACACGCCACGTGCCACGTGCGTTGTGCCACCTTGGTGTGAAAACGGCCTCAGACCAAGGCTACACGTGCTGCGTGTCACTCGGTTAACTTGCTGGCAACATCGGAGGATGAGGATGTTATTGTTGTCCTAAATCCTAATCAGTCTTGTGACTGAACGAGACGTGAGAATGGGAGCACCGCTGTTACCAGATGTGAGCGAGACGAGAGATGGAATTGGGCGGTCAATGAAAGGGGTCTTAGCTTGCTGGTTTATTGTTGAAGATAGATATGAGACCCCCCAAGAGACCCAAGGTGGTGGCGATGGATCCTGTTTGGCTTGGCCTGTCTGCCGTGTGTGTCTCTCTCTCTGTCTTACGAACGTGTCCTTTTTAAGTTGCGGTTCCCTTCGAAGGCGGATGTTCACTCCCGCGGGAAAAGAGAAAGTCGGGCGGCATCTGCGTCTGCCCAAGAAGGAAGGGCAACTGGTGGACAGAGGTGTGAAGTGTACCATCCCGTCTTGCTACGTATTGTTGATCTCGGCGTGGCATGCAAGTTGGACGTGACAAATGCGATGTGCCGCGCCACTTCTGTGTGAAGGATTTCATGTTACGTATGTTCGGCTTCAAGTGTCATTTGTCACCTGCCACTTGCCTCGTGTGTTGTGGCACTTTGGTGCGAAAGAGGCCTCATACGCACAGCTAGCAAGATATAATGAAACCATCCCTTTAACACCATAAACCCTTCACAATTTCAGACTTTTCTTTCTTTAATTGGGATATATTGCTATAGACGTGCAGTATGTATTGAAAGGAAGGTCAGTTTTATATAGAAATACAAAGATTCACTGCCTGTGCACCAATTTTTTCTTTCCTTTTTTGTTATGAAAGAAATATCTATTCATATACCGAAATCGTGTAATGGTAGCGAAAGAAAATATATGATAACAATAATACTGTCTTGTTCTGAATATGCAGTACAACGCTCTTGTAAATCACTGAAGTTTTGATGTTATAAAATTTATATGTGGCATCACTCTCTATGGCCCTCATTCACTTATTTTGAAAATCTATCTTATCGGGTTTTATTTTATTTATCTTAATTATTTCGGTTTTGTTTATATTTGTTTTATTTATATTTGATTTTATTTGTTTTATTTATATTTGATTTTATTTATTTTCTTTGTTATTATATTTATCTGGACTTATTTTATAGACTTTTATATATCTTATTTTATCTGTTTTTTATCCTATTCATTCTATTTCACCTATTTTGTTTATTTTATTTTACTCCATCCATTTTATTCAATCTCATTTCATCCATCTCATTTTATTTGACTTCATCAGTTTTATCTCATTTCATTTCATTTCATCTCTTTTATCATAAATATTACTCCATCTCCTTTATTTCACCTAATCTACCTCCATTATGATTTTTTTTTTTTTTTTTTTTTTTGGGGGGGGGGGGGATTTGCAACTGTCCTCTGCAAAAGGCAATCGGGACTTTGCAAAGGTTGTGACCGAGAGATTCAGCAGGTGGTGGGAGGCATCTGCACAGCTGTTATTTTCCATGCGAATGACGTGCTTTCCGTGACAATTATATTAACTACATATACGTATCGGTACACACACACGCGCAAAAAACAACAAAAACAACAACTTTAAAACCCGGTCAAAATGAGGTCGGTTCATAAAACGCGTTCCATAGAATCCATCTTAATGAGTCTAATTAAAAGAGCCCACTGCATAGAAACCACCCTTAGGAACCTAAAGAAATTATCCCACTCAAGACACGGAAACCACTACATAGGACCCACCCAGAAAATCCCGCAAAACAGAACAAATTTCATAGAACCCACAACTCAGAACACACCCTAAACAACCCACAATACAGAACCTACCAATAAAGAACCCAATAGACAGAACCCACCCCAAAGAACCCACGCTATAGAACCCACCCCAAAGAACCCACACCACAGAACCAACCCTAAAGAACCCACACAACTGAACCCACGCCATAGAACCCACCCCACACAACCCACACCGCAGAACCCACCCCAAAGAACCCACTAAGCAGAACCCAGACCACAGAACCCACTCCAAACAACCCACACCACAGAACCCACACCACAAAACCCACCCTAAAGAACCCACACCACAGAACCCACTCTATAGAACCAACCCCAAACAACCCATCCCAAAGAACCCACCCCAAACAACCCACACCACTAAACCCACTGCATACAACCCCACCCCCCCTCTCTGACGAACCCCCCTTACCTCCCTTGACAGAACTCGGTGCGCCACAACCTCTCCCTGAACAAGTGCTTCAAGAAGGTTCCGCGGACGAAGGACGACCCGGGCAAGGGCTCCTACTGGGCCATCGACGCCTCCTACACGGCCGAGGAGAGTCTCAGCAAGAAGAGGAAGCAGTCGTGTCCTAGGGTGAGTCTGGGGAGGTGGTTGGGGGGGGGGGGGGGGGTGGAGGTGGGGGGGGAGGTAGTTGTGTTCTAAGGGTTGGGTCTGGGGGGTGGGGGTGGGGGTGGGGTGGGGGGTAGTTGTGTTCTAGGGTGAGGGTGGGGGTGGGGAGGGGGTGGGGGGGTAATTGTGTTCTAGGGTGGATCTGGGGGTGGGGGTGGGGGGGGTAGTTGTCTTCTAGGGTGGATCTGGGGGTGGGGGTGGGGTGGGGGTGGGGGGGAGCAGTCGTGTCCAAGGGTGAGTCTGGGGAGGGGGGGTGGGGGTGGGGGGTAGTTGTGTTCTAGGGTGAGTCGGTGGGGGTGGGGGTGGGGGTGGGGGTGGGGGGTAGTTGTGTTCTAGGGTGGATCTGGGGGTGGGGGTGGGGGTGGGGGGTAGTTGTCTTCTAGGGTGGATCTGGGGGTGGGGGTGGGGGTGGGGGTGGGGGTGGGGGGGAGCAGTCGTGTCCAAGGGTGAGTCTGGGGAGGGGGGTGGGGGTGGGGGGTAGTTGTGTTCTAGGGTGAGTCTGGGGAGGGGGGGGAGCAGTTGTGTTCTAGGGTGAGTCTAGGGGTGGGGGGGCAGTTGTGTTCTAGGGTGAGTCTGGGGGTGGGGGTGGGGGTGGGGGTGGGGGGTAGTTGTGTTCTAGGGTGAGTCTGGGGGGAAAGGGGAAACTAAGGGGGGGGGGGTGTAAGGGTGAGGGTGAGTTTTGATATTCTCGCATGTTAAAGGAGAGAATATTTGTCTTTAAAAAACTACGTAAGCTAGTTTTTTTTTGTTTTCTATACTTGTTGGTTTGTCATAATAATATGCATTATAGGATAACATAAGTTGAAATAATTTCACTTCATATTCTCTTAATTTTTCCTTCTCATTTCACATGATTTTTTTCTCTCTCTCTCGTAGTCAACCCGTACCTGACGTTCTGCAACAGCAACAGCAACAGCAACAGCAACAGCAACAGCAACAGCAACAGCAACAGCAACAGCAACAGCACCACCACTGAACCCACGCCATAGAACCCACCCCACACAACCCACACCGCAGAACCCACCCCAAAGAACCCACTAAGCAGAACCCAGACCACAGAACCCACTCCAAACAACCCACACCACAGAACCCACACCACAGAACCCACACCACAGAACCAACCCTAAAGAACCCACACCACAGAACCCACACCACAGAACCCACTCTATAGAACCAACCCCAAACAACCCACACCACAGAACCAACCCTAAAGAACCCACACCACAGAACCCACACCACAGAACCAACCCTAAAGAACCCACACAACTGAACCCACGCCATAGAACCCACCCCAAACAACCCACACCACTAAACCCACTGCATACAACCCCACCCCCCCCTCTCTGACGAACCCCCCTTACCTCCCTTGACAGAACTCGGTGCGCCACAACCTCTCCCTGAACAAGTGCTTCAAGAAGGTTCCGCGGACGAAGGACGACCCGGGCAAGGGCTCCTACTGGGCCATCGACGCCTCCTACACGGCCGAGGAGAGTCTCAGCAAGAAGAGGAAGCAGTCGTGTCCTAGGGTGAGTCTGGGGAGGTGGTTGGGGGGGGGGTGGAGGTGGGGGTGGAGAGGGTAGTTGTGTTCTAGGGTGAGTCTGGTTGAGGGGGGGGAGCAGTTGTGTTCTAGGGTGAGTCTAGGGGTGGGGGGGCAGTTGTGTTCTAGGGTGAGTCTGGGGGTGGGGTTGGGGTGGGGGGGAGTAGTTGTGTTCTAGGGTGAGTCTGGGGGGAAAGGGGAAACTAAGGGGGGGGGGTGTAAGGGTGAGGGTGAGTTTTGATATTCTCGCATGTTAAAGGGGAGAATATTTGTCTTTAATTCTATACTTGTTGGTTTGTCATTATGAAATGCATTATAGGATACCATAAGTACAGGCAAAAACCAAAGTTAAAATAATTTCTACTTCATATTCTCTTAATTTCTCATTTCACATGATTTTTTTCTCTCTCTCTCGTAGTTCAACCCGTACCTGACGTTCTGCAACAGCAACAGCAACAGCAACGACTCCTTGACTTTGGGCGGAAAAGCAGCTTCCGTCCCCGCGTCGTCGGTGAGTGTGTCGACGGCGGCGGCAGCGGCGATGGCAGCGGCGGCGGCGGCGGCGGCGGGTCCCGGGGGCGGCGACCTGCACCGGAGGACCAACACGGCGCTCATCAGCCCTTGGAACAACTCGCTCGAACCGTGGCCGCAGTCGCAGATCTGGAATCCAGGATCTGAAGGTGAGGACCGGCGGAGGGAGGGAGAAGAGAGGGAGGGGAGGAGGGAGGAGGGAGGAGAGAGGGAGGGAGGGAGGGAGGGAGAAGAGAGGAAGGGAGGGAGGGAGGGAAAAGAGAGGGAGGGAGAAAAGAGGGAGGGGAGGAGGGAGGAGAGAGGGAGGGACGGAGGGAGGGAGAAGAGAGGGAGGGAAGGAGGAAGGGAGGAGAAATGGAAGGAGGGGGGATAAGGTTAGGTGAGGAAAGAGATAAAGAGACAGCTAAAGTGTAAACTGTGAGTATAAGAAGCCTAGAAATCAAAATTTGTCTCGCCAGGGCTGGTGCTGGACGGGCGGCCCGGCGCTGCGGCGGCCGTGAACGTGACCGGGGCGAGCACGGGCGTCGTGGGCGCGGGCGACGGCGACGTGCTGTGGCGAGACCCGGTGGACGGCATCACCATGAAGGACTGCGACCTCAACCTGCTCAACAACCTCACGCCGGAGCTCCTGCGGGAGTACGCCGACTTCCTCACCACCACGGCCAACTCGGCCCCGCCCGCGAGCTGCGTGGGCCAGCCCTGCGGGCCGCACGCCACGCCCGTCAACGGCGCCGTCAATGGGCTGCGCGGCGTCGCCCTGGACCCCGGCCCCGTCCCGCTGCCGCCCACGTCCGGAGAGACCATCGAGACGCTCGTGGCGGACCCGCTGCTGGTGTCGAACGCCGTGCCGCCCGATGACGTCCTCCGCTCGCCGCAGCAGGTCAGCAGCCCCGCCGAGCTCTCCCTGGACGGCAGCTTTAACCTGGGCGTGCAGGAGGAGTGCGGCGAGCGCGACGCCCCGCCCGTGTCCACCATCAGCGAGTCGGTGAGCGCCGCCGGCCACGGCTCGGGCGGCACCGTCACCATCATGAGGAGAGAGCCCGCCCCGCTGAGCCCCCGGACGCTCTCGGAGCCCCTGGCGCGGCTCCTGGCGCCCCTCACGCCCCCGGGCCAGTCGAGGGCGTCACTCGAGACGGAGGGCCCCGCGGACGACGATGGGCTGGAGGGCGCGCTGGTGCGGGGCCTGGCGGAGGACATGGAGGCCATCCAGGTGGGCCTCATCACGGGCTCGGGCGTCCACTCCGACGACGAGGAGATCACCGACGACTTCAACTGGGACAAGCTGCTCTAGCGCGGGTCTGACCTGGGCAGGCCTACATTTTATTATATATATATATATATATATATATATATATATATATATATATATATATATATATATATATATATATATATATATATATATATATATATATATATATATAGGCACACACGCATACTGTACATTTGTGTATGTCTATGATGGAAATGACGGGGCAGAATTACTTAATAACTGCATCAGCGCAAACAAAGCGACTGATTTTGTACATAGAAAAACTGTTGAAAATGCATTACAATCATCAGTGATTAATTTGAGAAAGTAAATCATATTTTACCTCGGTTATAAATATATCAGTCTGACATAAACCAAATTCATCGTAAATACGCTATATGTATTTAGCGATTAGCAATAGTATAATTTTCTACTGTATATAATTCCACCTGTATATACCGATGGGGTGTTTAAATAAGTAATGTGTTCATACAAGAAATCACGAAAGTTATATATTTATATAAAAGTTGACATAAAGCACTTTGCAATAAGCGTGTTGATTTGTACTGTAATTAGTCATTTTGTATAGTTCGGCAGATCATGAAGAGAAACTTGGGAGGAAGTCTTTGCATTCTGAAGACAGCCATAAGAAAAAACATGCTGCTTCGTTCTTAAACTGAAAAGGATTTTTAAGTAAGTCATGCCGTATGCCTAATATCCCCTTGTCTTTAATAGCAGACCCTCAGTGGTGATGGATTCTGTTTCACTGACTCAAACTCAAGGTGAGTCCATACTTAACATGTCTATTTGTGGTAAACTCTTCGAAACGATTGTCTCGAACTACCTGATTTCGCTGTTGGAAAAAATATATATATATGATTGAACGACTTCGGTGTTTCCTCCACTCCACCGATGACGTCACGATTCGTAGTTGGGGTTCACGACAGTATTATTTGTGTTTAGGTGTAGTAGCATGTGGCCCAGGCGTTGTGTTTCTCTGTGTATTCAACAAGGAAATAAACTAGTTTTCACGCGTGTTCAAAATGTATTATGGATAGCGAGCAGTTCACACCCATCCACCACAATCGCTGTTATGAGACGCCGCAATTCTTTATAGAAATAAAAGTAAGCGTGTGACGACACATTTTATTTAGTGACGTGACGCATCGCGTGGAGGTTGAGGGGGAACTTTGGTAAATCATGTTCTGTCAAGATGGATCGAAATCACATTAGCGAATACACATAAAGGTATTACTTATTGTTCAGTATTTGCAAGTGCAGGGAAAGTATGGCATATAGTTGGAGAATCATGTTAAGTGAAAGCAAACTTAAAAGAGGCACTTCGTGCTTATTTTTTTACGTTTCACTATAAAACCGAATGAGCTCCAAGAAACCTGAATTTCCAGTTGTTTCTGCTTTTCGGAGTCATCCCAAAGAATTCTAACTACAGAATACAATGACTGCAGACTGTGGCGTGCTAAGGACCCACTCTCTTTTAAAGCTCGGGGTATTTAACACTTTTCCATCTAAGTCCCCTTCCCTTCCCTAGCCTGCTGGTTACGCCACTAACTGCAAACAGAAAGGATCAGTGCTTCAGTGTAAGGGAGTACTTCTCTCATCACTCAACGACAATAAATGGCGATAAACTGTACTACTGACCCTTGTCAATGAAAAGAAAGAAGTGGAAAAAAGGATACACTAGAGAAAGGAGGAAAGCGAAGAGGGAGAAGAAGAAAGGAGATTGATGTATATCTTCATCATGATAAATTAACAAAAACTAGCGCCTTTATCTTCTCTCTCTTCTTTTCCTCTTCTCATTTCCATTTTCTTCTCACGTCTCCCTCTATTCCAATAAGGCGATGAAGGGTAGAAAGTATAAGCTACAGTGCTTTGTAACGATTTTTGAAAATAGGCCGTTGTTAGTCTTTTGCATTTTCTTGTAACATGTTTTCCAAAAGCAACACGTAACGTTTCCACAAGACAGTAAGAGACGTTTTAGAGACCAACGTTTAAAAAAATAAACGTATCACGTACACCCACGATTTTGACAGAAGTTGCTCAAACACCCACATGATTTTGGATGCCTGCAGAATTTAAAACCAATGGTGATGACACGATTTACAAACAGTATTGCGATGCAATTGATTTTGCATTATAAAAAGACGAAACAAGTGACACTGACTATCCCCCCCCCCAAGGCTTTCAGTTTTATTGTTACCATTTTTAGATCAGTTCGTACAGAAAATAATGCTTCAGTGGTTATCACAATCATCAGTGTAATTTGCATGTGCCAATGCGTTTGTTTTGCTTCATTATTATTAGTATTGATATTTTCATCATCATCATTTGTCCTTTTTCTAACAATTACTAACACTTATTTCTGTGGATACTCAAAGGATTACAATGTACATTAATGGAAATATCAGTTCTTTCTTTATCTATTACCTTTTCCTTTTCCTTTGAAAATTATAATAATTCATAAGCAAATAGCCTCATTGCATTTAGCTCCCATTATGAAATTCGTTTCATTTTCATTTTACCCAGAATAATTATTGTTATTAATATCATCATCATTACCATTTTGTTACTCGTTTTCCCCTCAAATTCTCACAACTTCCTTTGCTCGTATTGATAAGGAAATCTGAAAATGTGTTATAACAGTGGACTAAACAGTGCAAGACAATGTGCATTACATTACAGTGACTTTTATGGTCTCAAATGAAGGTCTGAAGAAAATGAGCAAGTGACTGCACGAAATGATTTACTTGCATGACCTCTATTTGACAGTTGTAAATTTCTCTTGAAGAAAATAATCAGTGAGACACGTTGTAGTTGTCAAGTTCTAGTCTTAAACTCATCTGGTGCCTTAACAGAATCTACAAGTATTTGCAAAGGAGATAAACATTAAAAAAACTTGGAATATGGATTCATTTGACTCTTTCCTGGCTTTCTTTTAAGGTAGACTTCTACAACAAAGAAGTATTTATCCTTCGAAACTGGATTTATTTGACAATAACTCTAAGTGGACTCCTAATTATTATTTTTTCTTAAATATACGTCTAATACAAAGAGGAGTCTTTATCCCCTTCCACCCCTCTTTTCCCCTCATCTGCGTCCTGCCTCATTACAGGAAGCTCACTAGGTATTACAGTATGATGACTTGTAAGGTTTACCAGACCCATGTGCCTAATGTCGTGTGCCTTGTTCTCAATAAACATTATTATGATTGGAAGTTTGTTTTTCTAACCATTTTCTTTGTACGATCTCTTGACCCAGCAGATCTACAGAATGCATCACATATCCTAACATGAGAAGCTTGTATGCTTTGAAATACTGACCTTGTTGAATGAATAGTAAATATTCAAAATCATACAGTGTATTCAGGCTGTTGTGCAAAGGTTATACACTTCAAGCGTTTTACTACAACTTTAGGATTTTAGTATCATACACTAAAATCAACTGCTTATTCACAACTGGTTAAAGTGATGTATTTGTCTTTCTTGATTTGCAATTATTAACTGTAAAATAGAAAATAAAAGACGTTATCTCTCTAACGTTAAAGAAAGTCTGATTTCTATCTGGCCCTTTATTAGTCACTGAATTATTAAATGAAATACCAGTTGTCATTACACATTTTTTAAATATGAAACATGGCATGCATGTTTTTTTTTTCAACTATTGATCTGCTTCTAAGGCAGATATACTTAGGAAAAGAAGAAAATAAAAGATTAATAAAGCAGTAGGAAAAATATCATAAAGCACAAATAAAACAAAGGAACAGAAGAGAAAACAGACCGATACATATCCTTTTTTCTTTTCTTTTTTTATACATTGGGTAAATGAGACAAACATTCAAGATTATGATGCTTATGCAGCCCCAACTTTATTATGTTGGCAATAGCCATATTCCAATAATATTAAGTTTATTTTAACATGACTCTTAAAAAAAGACAAAAAATGAGTATCTTAAACCATTAATACACTAAGTCTAATAGATACAAATTTAATAATTTGGTGCAAAACCTGCCCATAATTTAATTAACTCTGAACATGAGGTACTGCAAAAATATACAGTTTGATACAATGCCAAAAATCATTCCTGTAATACTGATGGAGTGTCCGTGAGTTGCACCGTACATGGTATAAAAATAAACAGGCTGTAAAAACTGATCTTACTACTCTAATATCTTCAAGAAATGGCTAATAAAAATTGTACATGCACATTCTATACAGTTAAACCTAAACCTAGACTAGTTATGCGCTAAATCTGCTCTTAGCTCTAACTAGAAATGAGTTCATACTTCATGTCATGTCATTACACAAACGAACAAACAATTGAAATGAGAATCGTCCTTCTTGTAGAGATCAAATCCTGTTAATTAGAATTAGAAAAAAAAAAAAAATCAAGGTAATTCTAAAGAAAGTTTTTTTTTTTTTCGTGGAATGTTTACCACTTAGTGTAATCTGTTCTCTTAACCAAACTGTTGTTTTTTTTCTCTAATTGAACAGAAAAGGGTAAGTTAACTTCTCTTAAAAAAGAAAGTAAAATACAAAATGCCAAGGTATACTTTAGCTTTGAAAAATCACCAGAAAAATCCAAATTAAGGCATGAATTATTTTGAGGTCACTGGAACAATATATATATATTGCTGGGAACACAATATGTCTTCCAGACATGTGTATCATTGAGGATTATTACCTTTTTTTGGATTTTTTTTTTTTTTTCTTTGAATTAATATTCAAGTAATTTTCATTCCTTTAAACTAGGTTGCATGAGTTATACCAAAGTGGATGTAACATAGACAATGATGGAAGTCCTCTGAAGAAGGTTTAGGATGGGACCTCTCACCAGTACAATCTTCTAGAACATTCCAGAGTGATCTAGCTCAGAGCAATGCTATTTGCTCAACCCCCTTAAAAAGCCTAGCCGTACACTGAAGACTGTTTGGTCAACCCTGTAAAATTATGACAAAGAGTTAATATTCTATTTGTTCACAAAGCTGTTTAAACTATACTACAGTTTTTTTTGTTTGTTTTTTTTACTGCATCATTTTTTTTATTTATTTATTAAGTTATTAAGCCTCACATACCCGTTCAAAAATAGGTTCAATAATGTTAAATGTCCTAATTCAAACACAGTTATGTAAACCAGCATTCCTTCAACATAGTATGCCTACAGACAAGAAAATTGGTCACATTTAAGCTTACCTCTTTAATCACACAATGTGCACACCAACACACGCGCACATACATACACATACCTCTGTATAGCCTTTGAACTACTTAAAAAAAGGATACAAAAGTTAAATAAATAAATAAAAAATGAAGAGAGAAAGTAGAATTGCTGTGAAAGATGGCTCTGTTGTCTAGTTATTAGCAAAAAAAAGAAAGAAAAAAATAAATAAATAAAATTAAAACAAAAAGAAAAAAGAAAAACATGAAAACCACTTAAACTAAGGAGGCACACACTCTCTCTTGTTGGTTCATTGTCCTGAGCTAAATTGAAGAGTCGCCTTCAGAAAATTCTTGTGTGTAAAACCAGAAAAGTTACATCAAGTAACAGAGCAACATACCTATGTATGCATGCCTTTGTCAAAAGCAGCATTTCTTTTCTTGTAATACTGTCTCATCATTAAAGAGATAAAGATTGCAGATTTTTTCTTTTTATAAATTACTTTTCAAATATTACAATTAAATCTGAAAAAGTTTAGAATCCCTACATAACCACATAAAAACTTGACTACACATTTATCATTCTTTACATATATGAGCAGGTATAGTTTTTGGCCCTCACAGACTATCACAAGATCTAAATTACCGGGAAAATGTGAAACATTTAGAGTCTCATTGTGAAAAGTCAAGAATGCTAATCAATTTACTGAAAGCTGTTTTATCCAGAGGGATCAACTGGGGGGGGGGGGGGGGGGTTAGAAAATAGACAAATAAAAAAATAAAACAAAACAAATAAATAAAAACTTAAAGGCTTGATAATAGGTATGGCAGCAATTACTGCTTTGTTGCTCCTTTTTGAATACAGTATCTTACAACATTCTAAAGCTTGTAGAAAAGGAACCTTGCCTGGATAATCTACCCTATTCAGGATCAACAAGGTTCCGAGTAATATTTGTACATCTCTCCCCTGTCCAAACATCACGTAGCTGATGTTTCATGCAAAGAGCAGTCTCCTCTACCAATGGCAATCATAAAGTCTAAAATACATGTGTTAAAAAACAAAATATTTGTTTCTTCTTTTTTTCTCTCTCTCTCTCTGATGATGATGAAATGCTTGGCAGGTCAACTACTAGCTCTGGTGTTTCACAATATGCAAGTGATGAAAACAGGTTCTGGAAAATGGTTACAAAAACTTCAATGCTTGATATAGTTAGGTAATACTGGTAGAAAAAGCTGGAAGGTTTGTTGGTGTGTTGCTTCTCTCTCCCATCGATTCAATAAGATCAACAGAGCACGATGCAATGAAACTCCCAGTAGTGCTGGTTCGTGGCAGTGTGTGTTGTCTTTGATTGTTGTGAAAGGAAACTGTTAGTAATCTTTTGGACAATTTTTTGGGTCAGGAGGATGTTGGGTTTATCAATGTCATTGTTAACATCATTATTCTGTCTTTTATACTATTTTAAATTCTCATTCTCTCTCTCTAAAATGAGTCAAGAACTTAAGTGTTAATGGTCAGGTACGCAAGAAGTTCTGGCTTAACTAGCAGGTATTTGCACAACATTCCTGAGTCCAAAAAAATGGAAAAATTCCCTCATTGCAGCTTAAGCTAGTGGCTCAAGTGGCTTGCTAGACTTGCTTTTTGCCCAAGTGGCATGATTTTTCTTTCTTAAAACTATTTCTCTTTTTTTAGTTGGAAGTCTCTTGCTTAACTGAATGTTACTCAGTACTGACAAGAACCTCATTTGACTGGTGTGGCTTTTCTAGGTATAAATAGGGCTGAAAAAGCAACTTCCAAATTTTGGGATTATCATTAGTATCTTTTAAAAAATTTCAATCATTTCTTAATTCATCACAACCTTGGTATTTCAATGCAGAAAGCTGACCACTCAATCAGATGAGGTGTAAAACATTTTTTATCCATGGAATGTGTTTTTTTTTCGAGGTCCAATGATAAATACAGCCAGATTCTCCTTCCACCATCCTCTCTTCCCAGTGTAAAACTACAAAAATCCACTTGATGCATATTTTATAAAGAGAAAAGATGTGTATTTACTCGCTATTAATTATTCCCTAAACAATTGCCAAGTTGCATCAGTGTATCTTTTATTTTCTATCTTTATCTCAGAATGTTTACAAAAATTTATATGTATATATAAAAAAAGAGAAGTTAAGATGAGAAGAAAAATGAGGTAAGCACCATCAGGAGAACGCGAGCTGTTGCATAAAAAAAGAGAATATTTTTTTTTTGCTTCCCTCTCCTGACGCATCTTGTGTTTAACAGTAGAGATAGTCGTCTAAGAAGGACATGCTCACGAGAGGGAACAGGGGTCATGACGGACCCAAAGCCCTTTCTGTAGATTACATTGGACATGTTGAAATGCGTGAGGGGGGGAAAAAAGTTTTGCTCGCTGTCCACATGGGATATTAGGAATATCATCTTTGTGACCAGAATATTGTGTTTTTGATAATGGCTTAATCTTTCATAGCCATAAATACTGAAGGCATTTGACAGATCAAGAGGAACATGGGGAAATCAATGGAAGATCTGCGACCAAAATGACACATAAAAGAAAAGAAAAGAGAGGGTATTGAACACCTACATGTAGAAAAGAAAAGTATTCTTAAAAAATATGAAATATCTTAATGGTACACAAATAAATGTTAGTTAAATAATAAAGAAAGAAAGAAGAAAAAAAGAAAGAAAGAAAAAAAAAAAAAAAAAACTAACTGTCAATCTCTGCTCTAATCTCAAAGCTATTGGCTTCCACTGTCAAGAGAACAAATGAACGGAGGAAAGGCAAACCGAGACGCACCTATTCCGTCTCCTACCTGCGAACAAATGACTTTTGACAACTTCAAGCAGGTCACTGCGCAAGTTGCTCTGGCTATTCCACATGGTTTGAACTAGGGTATCCCAGTCCACATCTCACAACACCGAACCAAGTACCTCCGGGTTCCTTACACCTCTCAAATACACACAGATTTGCAGAAATGATGCTGAACTTTGCAGAAAAATAAACTTACAAATAGCTAATAATTAATAAATAAGAGATCCTGCTCAAGACAAAATTTAAAAAGATAAGAAAAAACATATGATGTATGTAAATGGAAAGCAATAAAATCCATCAGCCACCTGTGGAATAGCAAGGTACTGTCTTCCTTATCAATATATGTATATATAGATGTAAATGACAGAATGCAACCTAACTCTACTGTAAAAACCTCAGCCTAGCATGAGGTAGAAGGGTTAGCTACCCAAAACTACTCGGGGGACTGTTCTGAAACGACTCAATGCCGCATCCCAGGGAGAGATGGACTCCCAGGCCAATGGTCGAGTCACTGGCACCACAAGCTGAGGCCAGTTCTCACCACTCTCCCTTAGCCAACTCATTACCTTCCTCATTTACAAAACTGCCATGTTGCCTCTCCTTTTATGTTTGTACCAACAACTGTGTTTTACACTGTTGTCTTTTTTTTAATCATTATTATTTTCTTTGTAATACTTTCTACATATATCTCAAAAG